AAATTCAAGGGCTCGCAGCTTATTCCGGGAAAGCGGCTGATTTTCCGGAATAAGTGGCCCAGTGTAGACACAGCCTCTGAGTATAAATCTGAACACCAGGTAATGCAATAGATAGATCCATAATATCGGATTATAATGTAATATATAATTACATTCAATTATCTACTTTTTTGAAGGTGTTAATCAATAAAATTTTCTTAGATACCCAGGTGACATGCAGGTGGGCACAGTAAAAGAATATGGGTATAATAAAAGTAATATGTAACAATTTTCTGGTGATGTATTTTAAACTTTGTATTGGCTTATTCTTTTTAACTTTAGTTTGTGAATCTTGCATTGAGCCTATTCCTTTATGTAATGAGGGGGAAATTCTCACAGTAGATCTTAGCACCATGCATTCCTGTTGTCCTCGTTACCATTGTGGTAAGTTTAGTTGTCTTTAATTAAAATGTTTTACTTGTATCTAGAAAATATTATATACTGTGTATTTTTTCAGCTGATTCAGTACTATCCATATAAATTTGAATTTATCCAAATGTTACATGTATATTATTGTAAAATGTCCAGTACAGTTTTCTGGCATACCTTTCATTTGTATTTGAACTACAAACACCCTTCCTTTGTGTTGTTCCTGGGAGCTAAGACTTAAACCAGGGTTTTACAAAGTGACGTGTTAAAAGCTGATAAAATGAGCAGACAGAGAAAGCCATTCACAGTTTACAACAGCAATTTTATTGGTCCTGCAAAACCCAGAAACTGTGCTTCATATTTCAGAGTGATCTCTACTGGCACCCTGTTTATTAACTATTTACATATATCTGGATAGAGCACTCATCTTGCATAATGGACACTTCCTATAATGGACAATGAATAATTTTAATGAACTTTATAGACCTTCAACGATTAAGCAACTTCACAGGTCTTTCACCTCCTCTAATTCCATTGTAGGGGCTTTTCTAATCTTACCATTTGCCTTCAGGAGATTTTTCTGCTGCTTGATTTTTTTTCTGGCTTCACCTTTGCCAGCTTCTGATGGTAACTAGTAGGTGAATTTCCCTTCCAATGACCATCAGTCTCCTCTGTCTCCACCACTATGTATGTTTGTGGGGGATCTCATCTGATTCAATCGTTGAAGGCAACTGCTCCCTGTTTGGAACTATCATGGAAAATGATAGTTATTACAGCAGAGTTATCCTTATATGTTTATGCATAAACCTGAGGCTACATTCTGCAGGATGAAACTAACTGGAGCAGTTTGGTAACATATTGATCTATAGTTTCTGTTTCATTTTGATCAGACATATTGCAAATCTGTCTTTTATTTATTGCATTTATTTTAGGCACAAGGTATTTTGTTAAAGCCTCTAAGATTTTAATTGCATCTTACCTTTCTTCCTTACCAGGTGTAAGTGCTGTCAAACTAGGAAGCAGTCCTTACTCATTGCTGTTGCCATTCTGATTGCAATGTTATCTTTGTCTATTCTTGCAGCCACTTCACAGTTTGTCCTTAATAAACTCTGAAGAAGTTTGCATTTTCACAGGGTTTGCATTTTCACATTGCAGCAAGGAGCAGAATGGTGCTCACCACCATTGCTGAAGTGGCCCAGTGGTCTGATCAGCCACAGTCTGTTCTGACACCTTGTCCAGTAACTATTTACAGATAAACAGCTAGAGCACTCCTGTAACTACTAGTGATTTTGGGTGCTTAATTATGGGGTACCTCGCTTGAGTCACTTTGATAGAGCGAGATTTTCAGATGATTGGCGTTCAGCAGACTTTGAAAATGTAAAAGCCGTTAAGGGGATCCAAGTTGGGCATCAAACATTGAAATTAACCAAGATCACTAACTTTTGCAAATCTTGGCCTGAGCCTTTATTTGCCCCTTGTACAGTGCTGTTGGATCTTAAATGTTAAGTAATAATAACAAAATTCTATGAAAAACCTTCAGTATTATTGGAATATTTGATCTAAGGAAATAGCTAAAAACAAGTTGATACATGTTATTTTTCCCCCTTTTAGTTTGTGATGAAAACCTTTGTTCAATGCCTCTTCTGAACTGCACAGCTGACATGCAACTTGTGAAAGAAAAAGTACCTGAGCAGTGCTGTCCAGACTGGCACTGTGGTAACTATTTTTTGTTCTTCTACCAGTTACTTATTCATAACAGTTCAGGTCTGTTGACTGATATACTTTTATTCCTCTCTTTATAGAATGTAGCTGTGAAAATTTTACTATACCAACCTGTAAAGTGGTAAGAAATTTTCCTTCAGGTATTATTTAATAACATATAGCATTTTTATTCCCCTATTTCTTTTTATGTAGTATTGTATGTACTATCCTTCCGTGAGTCTGTCATCACAGGCTATGGTCTTGGGGCTACCAATAATGCCTATAATACATTTGCCGGCATATGGATTATAAAATGGAGAGGTGTTGGAACACTATCTTCCAAATCAAGCTGTAACCCTTGTTGTACATCCTGTCTTGCTACCACCAATCCACCACTGAAGAAACTTGATTTTGGGTTTTTTTAGGCAGACCTAACTGAAGGGAAGAAAATGTAACCTTACTTTGTTCAATCCCGACTAGGATCTACATGCTTAAAATTTTAGCAGTTACAAAAATTTTTTTTGTTAATGGAAATAAATCATCTTTATGAACAAGTTTCTTATCTAGAGGAACATTGACCTGATGGTTAATGACTTAATTTTCATATTACAGTTATTAAATATCTTTGACCTTAGCAACATGGGAGTTTAGATATGCTGTCCTTTTCTCTCATCTTCTATTTTGTTTTAAACAAAATAGTTGTTATAACCTGGAAAATGCATGAAAATGAATGATGTAACTCTGAACTATCACTGTGATGAAAGGTATATTTCCTCATCACATGCCCTCCTCCATATGAGTGTGAGTAGAGCCATACCTGGATACAAAATTTATATCCAAGAATGGCAGCTATCCCTGGGCTCTCTGGTGTGTTTTGGAGCATGCAAGCTGCTTGCACATACTAATGTGACCAGAGACAGCTGCTGATGAGCCGAATGCCTGCCTCCTTGGGCAGGGCCAGGCAGTACAGCCATACCAGAGGAGTTGGCTGGGTAGTCTGACACACTGCTGCTTTTGCTAACATAGTTCCTAGGAGGGCCCTTCAACTCCATGGCTATCCATTTCATATCCATAGATCTCTTCATCTACGGGTATCTTGGAGGGGTCTACATATAAGGAACTTATAATGTTGCTATAAGACAAGGAATGTAACAGCCAAATTCTGAACCAATTGCAAGGAATGTATGATAATATAGAATTTTGACAATACACTAAAGTCCTGAAGAAGGTTTCAGAGCAGCCAAGTGGTATTTTATTACCAAATATACCTTTATTATTAAAATAATCTGGATTTATCACTTGAAAGTAAATTCAAATAAAATAAATACAGATTTGTAAAAAATAAACTAATTAAAACTGAGACAAGATGGGTGAGGTAATGTCTTTTATCATACCAACTTTGGCTGGAAAAAGAGACAAGCTACACAGGGCTCATCTAGACTACGTGGAAAATTCGAAAGAGGATATGCAAATTCCACGGGAATTTGCATATCTTCTTTCGATTTTACTTTTGAAAGCGGAGCTTCGAAAGTGAAAGTAATCAAGATGCGGTTTTTTCAGCAACTTTCCCCCTTTTTCGAAAAAGAGTGTAAACCTCATTTTTTGAGGAAAAGTGGCTTTTTGAAAAAGGGGGGGATTGCTGAAAAAACGCATCTTGATTACTTTCACTTTCGAAGCTCCGCTTTCAAAAGTGAAATCGAAAGAAGATATGCAAATTCCCGCTGATTTTAATTTTCCTCTTTTGAATCTTCCGCGTAGTCTGGATGAGCCCACAGAGTTCTTCAGGTCCTTATTAATTAAAACTGATATTCAGATATGCTATCCTTATATTCAGACCAAAATAAGTTTAACCACTTAGCTATTGTTAACAGTAATACTTCTAGGAGCCAGCCAACTGCTGTCTATTGTAATTGTCTCTTTCTCAAAGTTTAGACCTGAATGTTGGCAGTAATTTTGTAGATGTGTTTGATGTATTTGATACTGAAACTATTTCTTACTACACAGGGAGAAGTTCGAAAAATCGATGAGAACACTTACAGTGCTTGCGGATGTGTGCAGCACATCTGTGGTATTTTTTCTTTTTAATTTTATTAATTTTTAATTTTATTAATTTTTGTTTTACAGGACAAAAGCACCCAAGCAATGCAGGAATGGGTCCATACTGGCCTTCTAAAATGGGAATGCTATTGACTTTATATCTATGGGCTATGTCTAGACTGGCATGATTTTCCAGAAATGCTTTTAACGGAGAAGTTTTCCATTAAAAGCCTTTTTGGAAAAGAATGTCTAGATTGGCAGGACACTAGATTGGCAAAAGAACTTTTTGCGGAAAAGTGTCCGTGGCCAATCTAGATGCGGTTTTCCGCAAAAAAGCCCCGATCGCCATTTTCGCGATCGGGGCTTTTTTGTTGAAAAGAAATCTCTGCTGTCTACACTGGCCCTTTTACGCAAAAGTCTTTCGGAAAAAGACTTTTCCTCGAATGGGAGCAGCATAGTATTTCCGCAAAAAGCACTGATTTCTTACAGTAGGAAGTCAGTGCTTTTGCAGAAATTCAAGCGGCCAGTGTAGACAGCTGGCACGTTTTTCCGGAAAAGCGGCTGATTTTCCAGAAAAACTGGCCAGTCTAGACACAGCCATGGTTTATAATGGTTAAACATTAATTCTGAAGATAGAAGTTGAATGGGCAATAGGCTACAGTTTTGTGATTTCTAAATAAAATGTATATATCATTGTTGTATATATCAGTGTTAAATATTAGAGTCTCAGAGGGGTAACCATGTTAATCTGGATCTGCAAAAACACTTTAGAGACTAACAGATTTATTAGGGCATAAGTTTTCATTGGTAAAACCCACTCGTTAGATGAAATGGTGTAGAAGTTACAGAGACAAGGGTGTGTGTGTGTATAAATATATATATTGTTGTATATTAACACATTCACTTATTAACACAATATATACACCCCTACTCTGTAACATCCATTCCAGTTCATCTGATGAAATGGGTTTTACCCACAAAAGTTTATGCCCCAATAAATCTGCTAGTCTCTAAGGGTATGTCTACACTACAGCGCTAATTCGAACTAACTTAGTTCGAATTAGTTAATTCGAACTAAGCTAATTCGAACTAACGCATCCAGACTAAAAAACTAGTTCGAATTAACGTTTTTCTAATTTGAACTAGCATGTCCACACAGAGTGGACCCTGAACCGGGGTTAAGGATGGCCGGAAGCAGTGCCGGCAGGGCATCAGATGAGGACTTAGAGCATAGAGCTGCTGTCTCAGGCTAGCCGAGGGCTGTGCTTAAAGGGTCCCGACCCCCATCCCGGACAGACAGTTCTCAGGGGTGCCCC